ACCTCTCCCACAAGGACAGGCTGAGAGCTGGGGCTGTGCAGCCTGGAGAAGAGAAGGCTCCGAGGTGACCTGGTAGCGACCTGTATCTAAAAGGGAGCGACAGGAAAGGAGGGTAGACTCTTTAGCAGGGTCTGTGGTGACAGAACAGGGGGAAATGGTTTCAAGTTAAAGAGGGTAGGTTTAGTTTGGATATAAGGAAAAAATCTTTTACAGTGAGGATGATGAGGCACAGGACCATGTTGCCCAGTGACATGCTTGATGCCCCATCCCTGGAGACTTTCAAGGCAAGGCTGGATCAGGCTCTGGGCAGCCTGATCTAGCTGTGGTATCCCTGTGCATTGTAGAGTAGTTGGACTAGATGGCCTTCAGAGGTCCTGAAGGACCTCTAAGGATTCTATGATTCTAAATTATACAGGTTTACACATATATAGAAAAACACAAAAATACAAATTTACATGCAGCAGCTGAGGCTCAAACAGGCCTTTTTCAGTTATGCTAGCGTAAATGTAATACTAGCTGTAAATACATAGCAAAATCCTGCCTGGTTTAACTGCAAGCAGGACTAGAATTTCTAAAAGAAGCTTATGAAACACCAGGTAGCTGAACTATATTTAAGATAAGAAAGCAGCTACACAAATCACAAGAGCAAGATCTCATTACCATGGGTCACTGACGCAAGAAGAACTGATCAAGACACGTTATCTACAGTTAAAAATTAATAGATAAATCAAAAATACTTACTAGATGGTATCCAGCTATCTGATCAAAATAAAATATAATTACAAAGATTAGCAAGAAATTCATGGCAATAACAACAAAAAAGGAACTTCTTGCAAGAATAGCACTGATGGTATCTCAGGTGGCCAGCCTACATATGGAGACAAGGATGGTTAACTAATGTATGATGTATATGGGACAATCTAGTCTACTTTTTGGGTTAACATAAAAAAATACATTTGTTTCTGTTTCAGGATCACTGTTTCCAAGTCTTATACTTTTGCATTTACAGCTACCATGCACTGCACGTTTTTATACAGGGAAACAGGGTAAATAGCCATATTTACACTTATCCTTCACATTTGTCAAGTTCTCTGTTCCAGTACTTTCTCAGTCTCCATGTAGGTGGTGAATCGTTGTCTGTCAGTGCTTTAAGAAGCCAGGCAAAGAATAGATAAGCTACTGGTCACATCCTCCTGAAACTACCAAAACTTTCCAAGTAAGTTTTCATTTCTATTATTTTTCCATAGGACACCCCATGGAGTCTATATGACTTGGAAGATGATGAAAGGAGGAGACACTCTCTCACAGGATGTTAGAAAGGAGTGCCTTTGACTTCACAATTGCTAGGAAAATGTTGAACACGACGGCTAAAAATTCAAAGACTGACTCCACCCCAGTTACAGTTCCTCATCGTCTCCACAATATTGTTGCTAATGTGTGACAATGAGTTCACTGGACCTAATCTCAGATAGGAGGCTGAGATTAGAAAGAACATAAACTAGGACGGAAGGGAAGAACCCCTTTGAGGAATGGAGTGCGCAAGTCATTCTGGTTTTCAATGGAAAAAGGTCAATGTGAGCGTTGTTTTCCAGTTCCCTTAAACCATCCCAAGTGCCAAGCTTAAATTCTCACATGAAGGTTGGTAGTAGTTTAAAAAAGCCATATAAAAATAAAAATTAAAATGAATAAAAATAAAAATATAATTGAACAGAGAAATCTGGCCAGCTGATGAGTGGAGTAAGAGAGAAAAAGAGCAGGATAGTTGCCCAGGTCACAGCTTGGAAGCCTGGTAAGGATCTGGTAGAAGCCACTTGCTGTGTGTTGGGATGGCAAGGTGCTGCAGACAATACAGTTTAAGCCTTTTCCTCTTCCCCTTTAAGCCAGAATTCACAACTGGAAGAAAAAAGAAAAAAAAAAGAAAGAAAAAAAGCCATTCTAGTGTGATTGTGATAAGAAAATCAACAGAAGAGTGAGATTTATGTTCCAGCTACAGTAAATATTTTCCTTATGTCTGTTACTGAGTCCACTGTACTACATCATAGCTGGAAGCTGGATTGCAGAAGCTCTCTACCCATTAGGAACATCATAAAAGTCTGTTTAACCTACTGGGTGAAAAGTGGAATGTTCAGATTCTGAATATCTTTATTGTAGAGGCACTAGGAAGCTGCAGAAAGACATGAAAACTGCCATACTGGCCTAGTTCAGACATCCTGCTGACCACCACATGTCTGTTTTTCAGGAATTTTTCATTTGTTCCTCTGTCTGCTATTCTACTGTACAATAGCTGCCTTTTTTTTTTAAAGAAAATTTTACAATAATGATCATAAACCTTTCAAAATGGACTTCAATGGAAAATTTCTTAACTAGTAAAATAGAAGATGGGCTCTGTGATAACTCTGCTGTCCATGTAAGTAACATGCAAGTTATCTTGCTATGTCTCTGCCTCTGCTGTACCTGTACAGCACAGTCTACAGTTCCTTGCATGCTGAAGTATAAAACATCCATACTAACATTAAACAAGCTAGTTCATTCCATCTTTTTTTCTACAGGCCTACCATATAGAGCCTGGTGTCTCTCTCATTCCACTGCAATTCAAGGACTGTTTTGTATTATAAATGAGTATTTTAACTTAATATGTAAGCTACTTTACCTATTATTTCAGTTACAGAACCAAGATATGTAAAAGGTCTTTGGACCATCAGCTAATTAACAACAACAATAACAAAACAACAACAACAAAAAAAAACCAAACCAAAACATCAACAAAACCCCACCACTCCTTATTCTCTAATATGCATGCATTTAACAGAAATTTGGCTCCTTTGAGGCTATTGACTCAGGTTTGTGTTAAAGGCAGAATGCCAAATGAGAACTGAGCTGCATGTCAGATTTCATACACCCGTTAACAACACTGTTGTCCAATACAGAATTGTTAACAGAATTCCATGTGCTGTAGTTGAATGCACATAGCTAAATGTTTGATAAAAAGTTCACCTCTCCTTCCCCTGTGTGATTTGTGAAAGGCCTCATACTTTATCTCAGTCCAGAAAGCAGTTGGCTGCCACAGCTGCCCTTAAAGAGCATCAAGGATAATTTCCACAATTTTTTCAAGGCACTGAGATTATTTTTAATTTAAGCAATTAAAAAAAAATCAGGAATATATGATTACCAGTTAACCACTCAAAGACAGCCTTCAGTATTTGCCTGGTTGATTCCCAATATCTAGAAGGGGCACTTCAGAAAAATAAGATTTTTCTGTAAAATTACTCAAGTCCAAGTTGGTGCACAGTAAATAAATGAGCTGTTAGTTCACCTACAAAGACTAAATCATAGTGTGATGTTTTTCTTAGTCTGAGATCTGTCGCCATGAATTAAACATGAAGCTCCAAAGTCAAGCATTGTCTGATATGAAAATGGGTTTCATGGTTTCATATTTCAGTCAACAAACTTTGATTCTTTCTGCCTGAAATTAGACAGAACTAGGCTAATGAAAACAACAGGAATATACCTAGTGTCACATCTAAATTAGTAATAATTTATCTTCTGTAAATTTGATACTTATTTTACAGCAAAAATCCAAACTTTATATCTGCCATCAATCATAGTGGCACTTTGAAAAAAAATGACAAGTAGCTCTTTCACAATTTAATTACCTTCTAATTGCAGATCATAATTCCAAGAACTGCACACACAGTGAAGTCTGATTCAAAAAAACATTTCTCTAAAAACATGAGATCCATCTCTCTGGTAAACTGTTTTGTGTCTTTTTTTTTTTTTTCTTTTTCCTCTTTTTGTCTTTTTTGGCAAAGAAACATGAAGCTGACAAGCCAGCCTCCAGTTCCAAGTACATTTCTTCAGCATTAGTGACGGCTCGAGCTGTCCCTGCCCCTGCTCCACCACTTCCTTGTACTGGCAGAGACCATGCGCCTGGTGAGGAACCTGCTCAGGGCACTGCTCTACGTGAACAGGGAGATGGATTTTTTTCAGCTGGACCATTTCTCTAATGATAGCAACAGATTAAACCAGCTTATTCAGCACTGCTACTTAACCTGAAGCTACAGCTTCAGCTCGAGATGGCTTTGGACGGTTCAAGATGATGTTCTTCATCACAGCACAAGCTGTGCGGGACGATATGCCAAGCTTAAGCACCCAGTATCTCTTAAAGAGTGGCAGGGCCTGCTTTAACAGAGCTGTCTGCTTGAATAAAATGCTGCATGCTAAGTCAGCAGAGGCTCGGCTTGAGCTCAGAGTCTGCTTGCCACATGCAACGCAATTTTAAATGCAAATTTTGCCTGAGCACAGAAGAAATGTCAGGCTTTGAGGGAACATAAAATGGCAGGACATATGATGTGAGTCCACTGAAACTTCTTCTGACCCTTATCTTTTATTCATCGATATTGGCTGCAAAGCTCTGTTTTCATATTATTTCGGTACATACATACAGCAACTCTGCAATCTATGTGAGCATCTCAAAATATCAAATGCATAGCTCAACCTTCTCAAAGAAAAGCAAATTCAGGGAACTTTTCTATTGCACACAGCTATTGTTAATGTAAGCTGATTCACAACATGTTTATTTTCACCTACAAAAAAAAACTGTACAGAGTGAAGGACTGTGTATTCCAAGAGTGATGATCTTGGACTAAATAGAATTTCTATCCATAACCTGAGCCCAGATAACCAAGGGCTTAACCATCATTCACATTAGTAAAATATTAACAGAGGTTACTGGTTGTCATAGTAAAATGAGAGGTTGCACTGAACGTAATTTCATTTATGGAGGTTCAGAAAATTGACATCATGGCTGTGAGAACATATAAATAATGCACACGCTGTTTTTCAGATCAGCTGCAGCAACGTCTCTGAAGGGAGTATTCTACGGGCTGAGTTCCTCTAGAGGCACTGCAGAAACCAGATTTTGTGAGACAGACTGAGAAGCTCCTCTTCAGAAAACATTTCTGAGAACATCTGAGAGATTTTTCCTCTGTCTTTCATTGTGTTGGCAATTTCTTTTAAAAAACATGTGCACTGGAAGCTGTGCTAAGTGCCTGGGAACCACACTTATCCCTTTGGCTGTGCTGTGTACAGTCACTAACATTTTGCTGTTTTTCCCTGGAGGAAAAGTGGCTGAAAACAATGACCACATTACAGACGAGGTTTGGTACTTCGGAGGGATATTGGGATCTGGCGCATTGGTGAGTACATCAACTCGGACGTTCCCACCTTTCTTCCCCCACCTCAACCAAGACTTTGCATTGTTGAATTTTCCCAGTAGCACAAATGCAGTCTCTGACACTGCAAATTCTTCTTTGACAAATAAGCTAAAAGTCGTGAAATAGTTTGGGGAAAAGAAATCTAATTCAGAGGTGAGAAAACAAAGATGTGGAATTACTGAATTTAAAAGCAAATGTAACTTGAATTTATTCCAATTCAAACTGAATTTCTGTTATCGGTAGATGATCTTTCCTGCCTTGGTGTTTTTGGGCCTTAAGAACAATGATTGCTGTGGATGCTGTGGTAATGAGAGCTGTGGAAAGAGGTTTGCGGTAAGTGAGAGGAAATGCAGCAAAAATGTAAGAGCTATATTGTGATCAACAAAATACATGTTTCTTCTGTTCATAATCATGGAGAGACAGACGGACGCTGTCCAGACTGTGAGACACAAAGCAGGCACAGACCGCAGGTTGTCAGCGCCGTGCTGCACCTCTGATGTGCTACGGATACACACCTGTACTGCCTCTTATAGCAATAACAGCACTGCTGCGATCACAAGTAAAGTGAATTTTGGACAGTTCTGCATTTCATTTGGCACAGTGTGGCAGTTCTCTTCCATTTTTTGCTGGGAGTTTCAAAAATTATCTTGACAGTTGTGCGTTGTGTTCCCAGCTCATTGCAGACCCATTCAAGGGAGCGTGAATATCTGACTGGGTTCACAGAAAACTTCAGGTTGGAAAAGACCCCGGGAAGTCACCCAACCCAACCTCCTGCTTAGAGCAGTCAGCTCGAAACCAGGCTCCAGTCTGAACTTACAGCCTTCTCTAAGGCACTGCTGAAAAGTCTCAAACAGATACCTTCAGATGCCAGTAGACTTCTCAAGCGCTTTAGTTTAAAAGTCAGACTAGATAAAAAATAGCAATATTTCTATTAGGAAAGTGTATCCTTCTGAGACAAATTGTTGGCACAAGGAGATAATTATACTGCTTTACAACAAAACAGATTTTCAATTAGGAAAAAAAAAAAAGAGAGAGAGTGAGAGAAATAGAGCAATGGCTGTGAGCTCCACAAGGAGCCTTCCCTGACTCCCTTGAGGGAGTCTTCCTGCAGTCCCGGTAGCGCAAGGAAAAAATGGAGCCTCACTGCCAGCAGTGAACATGGCTTAACTTAGCTTTCAAGACTACAAAGAACACAGGATCTACCAAAGTATAAAATATTCTGCTGCCAGGCTTCCACTCACACCTCCACAATTCAGCTGAATTCAGAGCATGTCTATATGAGGAGAGGTGAGCAGCTGTGAGTGCTCTCTGCCCATGCTCAGGCAGGTGCACCCAAGCTAAGGTATATGTGAGGATGGTGCTTTCCATACAGCAATGTCCATCCTGCGGTGCTGCCCTTCCCAAGTCATGTCAGCGTAATGCCTGAACAAAAGACTGGGACTGTTACTGCAGTCACAGTGCTGTATTAAGAGAGTCCCAGCAGGCTTACCACAGAGTGACTGAGAACTGAATCTGCTCTCATATTTTAACAGAAGCATCATTACCATGATGTCTGCTACATTAATGTAATTTTTAAGTTAGCCCCATCAGATACATAAACACAAAAATGTATGTCTGTCAGTGTCCAGGAGGCATTTGGACAACAACTTGGACTTTCAGTTAGCCCCGAAAGGGCCGAGCAGTTGGATCAGATCATTTTTGAAGGTCCCTTCCAGCAGAGCTATTCTGTCCTATCACAGCACTCACACAAGAGCACTGTGATGAGCTCTATATATAACACTCACAGACCTGAAAATGCTTTCTCTTTTTTTTCACCCTCCACCTATATCGGAGCCCTGGCACAGGCTTCCCAGAGAGGTGAGGAAGGAATCTCCTTCTCTGGAGTTATCCAAACCCACTGGGACGCATTCCTGAGCAACTGCTGCAGGGAACTGCTGTGGGGAGCGGGACTGGCGGAGCCCCAGAGGCCCCTTCTGACCTCTATAGTTCTGTGATTCTGTGATCCTATCACTTCAATCCAAAAAAAGATACTCCCTCTACCTGCAAACTATTATGATTACCTCTGTCTACAAAGAAATAAGATTAGACGTTCTTAAAGTTCCAACACAGCATTGGTTTTTGAAAGATTTACTTACATATTACGTGAAAAGCTTGTAATGGAAAGCTAGGAAAATAACGACGTCCTTCTATCAATTCCACCTGCACTGCTAGAGCTAATGATGACAAGTACGTGGGAGAAGATATCCATAACATGAAACGTGAAGGGGAGGCTCAGGAAGGAAGAATACAATTACTTGGTCCAAATATGACCAAAATACCAAAGTTAACTTGTACAGGGCACTGTAGATTTTATTAATGCCACAAGGGGTCCAAGACTTCATAATCTTTTGTGAAAGATCCACCCTGGTGAAACACTGTGCCTTGAACAGCCATTTATTGGCTACATACTGCCCAAGTGGGAAGAGTGCCATCTGCTGTGCCTGTATCAGATTCTTCAGTCCTCAGGCAAATTCTTTTAAACCTTCTACAAAGGAGTGCAGCTATGCAATAGACATCGACCATGCAAGTGCAACCTGATAGATTTTAGCAGTTCTGCAGCTGATATTTTTGACTGTTAAGAACTGAACTTAGGGAATGTACATTCACATTAATAGGGTACATTTCAACGTCTGAATGAAAACTAAAATAATGTCATTTCTCTCCGTCAGATGTTTTCCTCTATAATATTTGCTGCAGTTGGAGTTGTGGGAGCTGGATACTGCTTTGTTGTGTCAGCAGTAGCCATAAACAAAGGCCCGATATGTAACAATGGAACACAGTGGCTCTATCCCTTCAAGGATGGGTAAGTCAAGACAGTCAGAACAAAGAAATGAAAAAACAGAACAAGATATATGTTTTGAATTCACGATATGGTTACATTTCCAAATCTCTTGCTTAGCAGTTGGGATTATACTACTTGTCTAAAACAAAGGTGTTCTTCAAAGGCTGAGCAAACGCACAACACTTGATTAATTAAGAAGCAGGAGCAGTATGTAAAGAATAACAGAACCAATCAAAACTACTGAGTTTCAAGGGGAGCCAACAAAGAGAAATGAGTGCACAGCCCTTCAGTTTCTTCTTGGGATTATAAGCAATATCAGGGATAAGTTACATCTACATTTACAGCAGAGAATTTTCTTCTTGAAACATGAGGTTTTCCAAATAATTAGCACTTCTGTCATTTTATCTTAGTTCTGTAATTTGTCCCACTACAAACAGAACGTGTGGGCTTCTCCTTTGCATTCTCCACTTCCAGAGAGGACAAAATGCAATGCTATAATGCTGTAAGAGAAAGAAGCCCAGGGTTTCTGCCGAGGGAGTTAGAGATGGTGCTGTACCCCCAAGGGAGCCCCACGGCTCCTGGGTGCCTGGGAGCTGTATTTAATTCATGCACCACGAGATGTCAGGACTGCTTCGTGCAACAGCAGAGCTGACACCACCAGCAGGAAAAGCGACTTCACAATGAGGCATAAGCAGGCAGGAGAGTCATTTCGGCACACGTTTGGCTGTTATTTGATAATTTGCTCTTCCTAGAACAGCAGGAGTGGTCCAGTTGTTTCTAAAACAATCTCATCTCTGATTGTGCCTTATCTTTCTAAATTAATTACTTCAACTGATTGAAAAGCCACACAAAAGAATGTTCTAGACAAGCAGTACTAATGTTGTAATGGGAATTATTTTTTACATTGTTGAAGCTCACAGAATTTTGGTCACACATTACAATTATTGTGGCCCTTTCAGCCACAATGGATCTCCTCTTTGCCAGCCAGTATCATCTCCCAATCACTTTGTTTCCCTCTTTAACTATCCAGGGATTACCTAGGTGACCGAAAACTGTGGGACACGTGTCTGTCACCTGCAAACATTGTGCCCTGGCACCTGACCCTTTTTGCTTTGCTGTTGGTGATGAGTGGGATCCAGGCAGTGCTCTGCGGCATTCAGGTTGTGAACGGACTCTTTGGAACGATCTGTGGGGATTGCAGATGCTGCGGATGCTGTGGGGTGAGCACCGATTAATTTCTCTTGTGATTTTCTGTACTGTCAATTGCTGCAGATGCACTCAATGGGCCAGCAGTCTGAAAAGCCGAAGCAGCCTTTGTTCAGCACTACGATCATATTCCTAAAACATCAGGTGCCCAAACAATCACCTCAGCCCTTCTTTGTGGGGTTTATCTGACAGCTCCCTATAGCCACTGGACATTGTAAAATCCCATGAAAGTCACACGAATAGGAGCCACTGAATAACCTCTATGATTTCCTTCTTCCAGGGAGATGGGCCCGTCTAAAAAACGTCAGCGGTGCAAAGAACCCTTCTCACCTTCTGAAACCATTCGGGAAAGGTTTCAGCAGCACCGCCACTGCTGGGAAGATCGGAATGAAAGGCACTTCCCTACACCAAAGGGGTGAAGCCCTGACTTCTCTTTTCAGGCACCCATGTGCCTGAAACCTCTCCTCATGGAATAAAATTAGCAAAAGTCAAGTATCATAATCATATTTATTTTTGTAAAACAGATTCCATATAGAATTTTGCCTGAGCATTCTCTTTTTAACATTAATAGCTTTCTAACTGTAGATCACCAAACAGCGCTGATGCAAGTTCAGTTGTTATGAAATTTTATCTAATCTCTTTTGAAGTTTAGCAAATGGGAATATCATAAACAATGGAACTTCTTTTGAGGATATGTTTATATGTGCAGAAAAGCAAGGACTTCTTTCGCCCAGATCTGCTATTTATAAAGAGACTGTAACAGAAAAGATTCGTGGATCTCAATGTCTCTTTTCTTAATGGAGAAACAGGCATATTTAGCAGCAGTGCTATGCAAGGAAGCACACGGTCAAAGCAATGGGCTGAAGAACAGACTGCTGCCAACAGTCTGCAGCATTATGAGTCAGCCTGGACTCCACCACAGCCAGCTTTAGGAACTCAGTGAGAAAGGCCAGTGCACAGCTTTTAGCATGGCTGGGTGCTGGCTTCGTCCAGTACTTTCATCCAGTCATTCTACTGGAGGAAGCGTAATAGCACAGTGGGACCGCAGCAGATGAAACTGAGAACTGCAAGTATAAGGGACCTTCCCAGAGTATTTCCATGGAATGCAACTCCACTGTGCAACAACATCCTTAGACAGAAGTTCCATCTTTGTACTTAACTGTTCTTGACAGATTTATTCTCCACAAAGTTGCTCACTTTCTTGAATCACAATATTCCCTCTGCAGCCTAACTCCAAGCTGTGGAAAGAGCCTCCTTTGTTCTGACCCACCCTGATGTGTGCTCCTTTCATTTGATGCCTCCTCTTTCTTGACTGTAAGAAAGAGTGTATGTCCTCCCTGTGGCAACTGCTTTCACAGGTTCTCTCACATCCCCTCTCAGTTTTTACCAGCCTGAAGAGCACTCACTTTTGCAGCCATTCATCGTGCAGAATTGTTTCCCCCCCACTTGACATTTTTTGCAGCTTCCCCCACTACACTCTGGGATGGGAGGGGCAGAGCAGCACGGAGCTCCTGGCACAGTCACACTGTCCTTGCAATTTATTTTCTTCTTTTTATGAAAAAAAAATAAAAATCTTTCAAAGAGATAAAACCATTTCCCAGAGAAATCAAGGAGGAAATAGAGAGATTGAAAGAGAAGGCTGACCACCTTCACACTTCTTACAAAAGGTCCTACAGCAAATCTTCACAATCCTGCTTGCCAGAGTGGCTCTCTGGGGGTTTCTACTTCCCCAAAGAATTGGCCACATCTTTTTCCTCAAAATTTCCCCCTGAGACAGTGATTCAGTGCCCTGTTTTCTCAAAAGTGTATCTCATACATTCTGTGTCTAAAATATATAAAGAACTTTGAGGATTTAAAAGCAGGAAAAGCTGGTAAGCATTATGCAAAAAACGCTGAATAGCCACGCATACACACATACACAAAGAGTTAAATTAATACAAGCAAAGGGGTGTAATGATACATTGTGCAAGATGATAAATGATGAAAGAGATCTTCAGGAACAGCTGTCTCTCCCACCTGTTACCCTGCATTGCTCCAGAATTTGAGAGTACCCTTTATATCTCCACCCACCGACACAACCATTTTACATCTATTCTTTCATCTGTGGTTAGCAGCTGTCCTGCACCTCATCTTGCATTTGTCTTGTTTTATTTATATGAAGTCTTTGGGAATATGGAATGTTTCTCATCAGCATTCAACAAATGGATGCGCAGCTACATGGTGCACGACTCAGATTTATTAATAAACTGAATGTGTAAATCTGTGGGGGAGTTGGGATAAGAAATCAGGAAGCTACAACACCTGAACAAAAATACCGGGTGCTTCATGAGCCAATGATTCTAAGATGCCCAACAGCGGTTTCCTAACGAGAGCTGCTAAGTCAATATTGAGATAAGGCACACACATCTTATGTTGTGACACAGCCCTGGGGCGTACTGACCAATTCCAAAGGAACGGGATTTCCTCTGATGTGCCAGCGGCACTGCTCCTAAACCTCTTCCGTTACGTTAGCATTTGAGGCAAGACAGAAACCAAAACTAAAGACAACTGCAGGTAAAACAGAGCTCAGCAGTCCTAACCAACTTAAACAGCATGCTCAGTTTCAGCTGACTCAGCTGCAAAGAAATTCTGGGAGCTTACAGGAAAACATCGGGATTGTTTATAACATCTCAATGTGAACGCGTTGTTTAAAACCTCATTACGTGCTCAGTGGCTGCTGGCCAGAATGCCACGAGCACAGCCGTCCTGACAGCGGGAGGCGCTTCCTCAGCTGAGAGTTTACAGAAAAAGAAGCGCAAAGGTTATTTAACGACTCAGATCACAACGTGCTGACTGCGTGCTTTGAGAGCGCGCTTCGATGCACGCCGGACAACGCCGGGGCGCTGCAGAAGGGCGCGCTCACCTCAGTCCTGCTGCCTGCAGCAGGAGGACACGGCGCCTCAGTGCAGCTCTGCGGAAAGTTTGCTTCTAAAACTGGGAAATAACACACATAAGGTTGAGGCCACTTGTGCTTCTTCTAAAGCGTTCGCATCAGCAGAGTGCGAAGGACGATCTCTAACATGGTTTTAATCGGGAGCGTTCACCACCCGCCCTCAGTCCCGCCGGACGACAGACCGACAGAGCACGACGAGGCGACGAAGGCGGAATCCGCGCCCGGGGCTGCGGCGCGGACACCCCGCAGAGCGGAGCGGATCGGAACCCCGGCACAGGGCCGAGCGATGACGGAGCAGCGCCGCTCCGGCCCCGCGCGTCCGCACACGCGGGAAACGCCAGAACGACGGGAGCGGCGGAGCGCCCTCTCACCGCGGCCGCGCCCCTCCCCTCTGTCCCACGACCGCCCCCTACCTGCCGCCTCCGGGCCGCCCCGTGCCTGACGGGGGTGGAGGCCGCGTGCTCTGCGCCGCGCCGAGCGTCCTGTCGGTCTGTCCGCCGCGAACGGCTCCTCGCGCCTCGTTTATCCTCTTCCTCCCTTCTCCCTTGGCAGCGCGAGCTGCGGAGACGCGGCAGCCGCGGTGCCGGAGCGCTTCCCGCCCGACCCCCGCGAGGAGCTCGGAGCTCTCGGGGCGTCCCGGCGCTCGGGCGGGCAGCGTTCGGCGCGCAGCTGCAAAGTCGGCGTTCCTGCGGGCGCGCGGCGCCGCTCCGACGCGCGGTTGCGTGGCGGAATCCCCGCGCCTCTCCGCGGTTTGTAGAAGTAGAGAAGGCGGTCTCGGATTTTCCGGGCTATCGCGTTCATTTTTAATGATCGCATTTCAAAGAGTTCAGAGATAGCTGGGGGAGGAAGGGACGCATCGCCGATAGCGAATTGGTGACGGTGGAAACTGTAAGCTTGGACGAACAGTAGAAACAAAGCACGAGGAAGACTTGAGCGGAAGCGCTGCGCTGATAACGGCGCCGTGGGAGCGCCCACCCCGCACAGCCCCGCGCGCCGCGTGGGCGCGAGCCGCAACGCCGCACGGCCCGAACGGCGCTTCTGAGCGCGGCAGGGGAAATGGGGGCCCGACGGTGGCACCGCTGCTTTACGGCGTTGGCCGAGAAGGGCGGACTGCCGGCGCGCTTCCTGCTGAGCCGCGCGGCTCCTCGGCGCGCCGCAGTGCCAGAAGTTCTTCTCAAAGCGGTTTCAGCCGTCCGCGAGCAGCGCTGCGCCGCGCAGAGCTCGCAGAGCGCCGCGTGCCGGCGGAACCGACCCGGCCGTCCAAGGCGAACGCGTTCAGCGCCTCTGCCAAAGGGCCGCGGTTACCGTCCCCGTGAACGCGCTTCTCAAAACGGGGTCATAACGCGGCAGCGCTGCCCGGTGATGCGGTACATTTGCACGCTTCCCCACGCGCATGACTGCAGCTAATTGCTAAGCGTAAGGAGAATTGCGATGCCACGCCGCTCGCTGCAGCGCAATTCACGGAGTCTCCGTGCTAACACAAAGCCCCGCTGTGTTTGCAGCGTAAACTTTACGCCGTTCACCTCTTGGCAGATCGCTGCAGCAGCCGCGCTCCCCCCGTGCCAGTACCACACAGCAACCGCCGATCCACGGGGAATGTCCTGCACTTGTGGCGTCAGAGTTTCTGCAACAGCCTTTTAAGATTGAAAAAGCCAAGTGCAGTTTATTGGTTTTCATTTTCCACATTTCTGAACATTCAACATCGCACACGAGCTCAGAACGTCTTCAGAATTATTCTCCGTGTGCGACGACAGCAAAGACAAACCCGGCACGTTTTGGTTTCCTGCCTCGTTGGTGCATAATATGAGAGGCTCCTTCGTCCGCATCAGAGCAAGAACAACGCAGAGCTCAGCAGTGCACGCAGTGCTGCTGCTGCTGAGGAGCAGCTGTGTGAGCCGCGCTGTAGGAGTTTGTGCCGCTGAGCCACAGCGAGCAGCAAAGCGGCCCTGGGAGCACTGGAAGCGTTAGAAGTCAAACTGTAATCATCGCTTATGCCCCAAACAACTCATAATGAACTGAGATGTAAACGTAAAATGCTTTTATTTTGCATGGAGCCAATCACTGAATTAAAAGTGTATGCCTTTTTCACAGAACAGATCTTTACCTTTATTCCAAGCATGGATCTCTGGAAAGCACAGAGCAAAACCCTCCAAAGGGGAAAAAAATAAATAAATAAACAAAAGAAGCACGGATATGCATCCAAAACGTTTCAATTCATGTATGTATTTTTTCATGTACGAGATCAGAGAAAAACATCTTAAAAAGCACAGAATCAAAGCCCTGATACAACAGGTTGATCTGTGTGCTTCTGATACATATGGTCTGCTGCAACGTACTCTAAATTAAAACCAAATGCTCACATCATTTAACAAAATGAATAGGTAAATAAAAAAGTTAAAGTGTTAGCACGTACAGGGATGCAGTATAACAGAAAACAAGTTTACCTGAACATCCCTGTTTTTCTGCTTAAAACAGACATTTTAATCCTCTCTTTCCACTCCAAAACATTCATTTTCAAATAGGCAAAACCGCCCCCCCTTCCCCCTCGCTCCCCATGACATCCTGGCAGTACTCCCATGAGCTGTAATCTCCATTACTAGGAAGAAAAGCTGACAGTGTAAACCGTCACTTCTACCTTAACTATGATTTGATCACAACTGAGTAAAGATCTGACCTAAGATTTTGGTCACTGCTTTACACTGACAGCAGTTTTTCAGGTAATAGCACCTCCCTTTTCCAACTGTGATTTTATCAATAGGAAGTAATATGGAAACGTATTTCAGATTTTTTGCCTTTTTAACCCCTTTGAACCCTGACACACAACCACCCAAAACACGGCTGACAAAGCAAGCTGCTCTTAAGCTCTCTAATTTTGCATAACATCAGACTGCACCAGAAAATGGTATCAGTTCTCATGCAAGAGCTGCCATCTCCAGCTACTGAAAACCAGTGCAGCCAAACAGCACTGGCTGCCTACTCTGCATCAGCCGAACACTGGACCTGCTTGGAATGTGATGCACTATGACCCAAATTGACACTGGTACTGGCAGATGGACAAACTGTATTTTCTAAACATGACCCAATGATGTGCCATAGCAAGGGAATCCCATGAGAACACAGCTCTGCAGACACTGTGAATTATTCCAGCCCTGACGGCCTGCAGTCTGTCAGGCCACAATGCAGCACTGGAGAGTGGCCTACAAGTCAGGTGCCAAAAATCTCCCTTTACCATGCCATCAGGTGTGTCAATACAGAACGAAGCCTGAGGACATCCATTTGTCTTGAGGCTGACACCCTGAAGAGATCCTTAAAAGAGAGAGGCTATTCATAATTACAGTAATGCTGCTTGGCCCAGCCCGGTCCCTTGTTTGTTGGAAAGGAATTTCTCTTCCCTGGACATGCCAGCTAACATTAAAAACAAAGCAAAACCAAAAAGAAACAAATAAACAGAAAATATCCCTCCCCTCCCTTCCAAAAAAAAAAAAGAAAAAGAAAAGTAGTGACAATTCAGTAATTATACTCTGTGCAGACACAATTCTGCTGTCACATCTCGCTTTATATTAAAAAGAGAAAATACAAGAAGAGCTGCTTTTCCCTCTGTAGTACAACTTCATGACTGTAGGTCTTTGCCTTCCCTCTCCTGTTCCAACTTTTGGTGTGTGCATTTCAGTTTCCACCTTTCATATACTGCACACCAGCTGTGTGTCATTCACAGGGCAGTTTACTGCATCAGTTCTTCCACCACGTCTTCTGCTGAACACCAGTGACTCACCTTCTGTATATCGCAGTCTGCAGTGACCCTTCCCACTAAGGATCAAATTTTGTCACATAATCATTTGACTCCCAAACCTTCTCATGTTCCTGTAACTTAATCTCTGACCTTTACACCTACATTCATGCGACCAGATGGAAAAAGTCTTCAGTGATCAATATTACAGCGCATTGGTAAGATCTTACTAAGTATCATTAAATTGAACAAGAGCCATTTACACTGAGTGCCATACCTCTTCCTCTCTCTGCATAGCCTGGATTAAGCTCAGAGAAAAGTTTTAGTGCCTTTCATAAAAATACATATTTTTCAATATTTAAGGCATAAATTCATAGATCATAAATAATATAATTTCAAAATATTTAAGAATTTTAGGACTTCATTTGCATTTCAGGGGAAGTGTATGCTTAACATCCTTGATGCCTATTCAGTCCCAAACCTCTGAAAAAGAAGCATTTGTAGGGAATACAATATGTAGGAGTGCAAAAACATTATGCTGTGTGTTCTGTACACTGATTACAGTAAGTGACAGACTTAAGAACGGTGCAGCCTTACCAGAACAGTAATAACACTGCTTAGTTTTGCCCTGATAAAGATAACATCTTTTTTTTCATGTATAGAACTACATGTACAGTTTGACATTGTCAGTTAAAAACATTACTAAAAACAGTACTACAAGCGTTTTTTTCACACTACATATGATATTACCAGGTTGTGACACGTTTTTCTGTCCTGACCTCAACAGCACATTTTTGCATTTAATTACCATGTATTATTATATAGGACAAACTGTTTGTTCATCTGTTACATTACAAAATTGTAATGCTTAATATAATAAACATCAAAATCTAAGATCTACTAAAAAATTGCTGGTCTGTAATACACTGTTTTATTTTAAAAAGGCAGCAGTTAGTACCAGTTGGATTGTTTTACAACACTGTAGCAGTATGAAACTGTTGCTAAACAATACTGGTACTTTCAAAAATTAAGCATAGTTATTATCTGGAAACTATACAGTAATATACTGGGGAAAAAAAAAAGAAAAAAGAAATGGCAATAGTACTTCTTGTGCCTTTACAAATATATGAAAATTATTATGGCTGATATAGATCAGATTTAATCTATATTCCATACAGTACAGTTTTCCTAATAATAATTAAAAAAAGATTTTTAAAGCTTAAGTAAGTTGATAAAAAAAGCCTCTGATACTATTGTCATAAACGCAGTAATAAAACTGCTTGCATGGTCTGATGCTGTGCAGAGTCTGTGAACCAAGTGACCTAGGAGTCAGCCTCTGTGATTCATTAAGAGTTTGTGATGTTAATCAATACCTAGAAGACCAGTCACAGGCATACACAAACATCATTCAGTTTCTGTCCTTAGAGTGAAACATTTCTGCCTGATCTGAAAAGGAAAATGCGTAGTGTATATTTTCTAAAAGAGGAAGAAATATATATTTATATATGTATATCTCTATATGTATTTCATATTTAAGTTAGTGTCAGTCAAATCCAGGCAGAGATTAAACCAACCATAAAGATGACATAACAAAAGTCACTAAGGCAGTGATCTCTCAGAATTTTCAGATATTTTGTCTCTATCTAAAGAGGAAAAATAAATGCTGAATTGCATTTCACACTGAATCAGCATTAGAGAATGGGTGACTACAGCCATGTAAGGAAGGGCTCATTTTTGCTGAGTACAGACTCCACATCATTGAGAATAGGGATTAAGTCTTCTGACTCCAAAGTCCCAAGATCAACATTTGTTCCTGGAAGACAGTCGAGGAAATCAGGGAAGCGCGCTTGTTGTGCATTTATGTTCATTGTTGTTTGTGCTACAGTCTCTCCTAGAAAAATTAAAGAAGAATATTTGAAATTCCAAACCTTATGGGTAATCTACAACAACACGACTGATATAAAAATTAGCGTCCCCATTTCCTGTAAGCACTTCTATCCTCTACAATGTTACCTAAAAGAAACCCCACTATGCAATTATAAAACAGCACTAGCGAGGGCAAGATGTTATTAATATCATTACACTTTAAGCTAACTCAGGATATTCTACCTGTATCCATCTCATCTACGTTGCTGAGGAAATCTTCAGGTGTCGTTGGTATACTGTAGCATCCTAATCCCAAGCCACTGTCTGTACTCTGTTCCCTGGAATGGTATGGCCCACTGTAAATTGAAACATTAAAAAGGCTCAGTAATGGTGTTCTGTTAGACATTGTCCCTGATCATATCATTTGAAAAGACAGTGCAACAGGTTAGATATTAAATACTGAGTCATAAAGCCTCACTCTTTTGCTGGTTTCCAGTGCATGATTGCAAATTCAAAGTGACTGAAGTGTGGTCATGTTAATTTTGAAACATACACATGTATATACACCTCTCTAGACAAAAACAGTTCTGATAACCTAAAAGAAGTCAATTTATTTATACTTACATTATGTACCTAGAGTATTCCAGGTGCACATACATACAGTGCACTTCAAACCACCTGCTACCATTTGTTTGATTTTTCTACAGTACCTTCAGGAAGTGTAAACTGAAAGATTTCAGGTCATCCACTATGCTGTACTCCAGAGTACGCACAAAAGATGATTTAGGAAACTACTTTAAAGAAACAGCTTTAAAAGCATGAATTGTCTAATGAAGAGGACATGAACTTGCCTGTTCAAGAAAGGATCAGATCCATTGTTTGTAATAGATCTCATATCTTGGGTCATGGCAGCTGTGCTCATGGCTGTCTGAACTGCAGTCATGTTTTCAGAGTCCATGGGAAGCTGCCTGCACAATGCAGCTTCCTGAGAAGGCAAAAAAATATAAGGGAAGGAGGGTTATTCCGAAAGTTCAGCACCACTGCAGTCTCATAACAAGAAAACATGTTATATCTGTCCACATTTTTATTCAGGAAAGTAATTCTAAACTATAAAAGTGATGAGTATTTGTTTACACTGGTGTGAAGAAAATTATGATGTTGTAGACAGCAACTGTCCTTCATACCCACCTGTGCTACAGAGTCTACTGGAGGCCTCCCCCAGTGAGAGAGGCTTCCAGGAAAGATGGTTGATGCCGAAAGCCTGTCAGTGTTCAAGAGGTATCTGGCTAACACCCACAGTAACAGGCTTGAACTTTTGGTTAGCCCTGAAGAGGTCAAGTACGTACATTTGATGGTCTTTGTATGTTCCAACAGAACTATTCTACTCTGCTCTACTCTACTCTACTTTGTCATCTAGTTGCTACTAGTGCAATCTAAAGTGCAATCTTTAAAATTTCTGGTTTAAAATCTGGGAAGGGAAGCCAGCACCCCTTTGGTGCCATGAACCTCCCACAGACACCAATGGTGGCCCAGATCAGCATCTTGGTGGAGCTGCTGGAGAATCTGGCACAGCAGACTCCTGTGGCAAATGCTGCTGTGTCATCAGTAGATTCATTCACTGAGTTCACCCAGAAAATGTTGGATAACTTCCATAATTTTGCGTCCTCACTTTTGCTAGACACCAAAGCAGAAGAATCTAACTTGCAATCCAAAAGCATTTAACAAGTTAGAAAGAGCACTGCAGCAAAGAATTTGATTCAATAATTTTTATAATAAATTCTTTGCTTAATAATAAGTGTCCTCCTGATCTATGTCTTGCATACTGTCTTAAAGATTACAAATGAGGCTGAAGAAACTTGTTTCAACTCTTTGTGATGGTTAAATCTCATTTTATCTCTGTGAGACAACCATGACATCTAGTGGTACAGAACTCTAATACAAATACTGTTTTGCTCCACACAGATGTCTCAAATGAACATCCTAGCTCCTTAAAAATAATAAAGCTGTATCAGTAAACCTAGCTGACTCAGCCTAATTATTATTACAGATTTTTGGGAAGTAAGAAAAGGAAATATTTCATTTAGTAGAAAACGATTTTCCGCGGAATCTGTAACTCATTTGTTCTCTCAAATACAGTAAAAAAAGACAAACAATTTTTTGAGGTTAGAGTGGGACGTTCTACTGTGCAATTGATTCGGTTAGTGAGGAGGATTAATTTGGTCTCTTCGTGAATAATGCAACCACGATTCATTGGAAACCAACATATACTGGTGCCCATTATCATAACGCTTTATTTATAATCTAATTATCAGTATAGTCATTGATTAATAATCTACATTAGATCATGCAATTATTTAGTAAATGCTAAGAATAAAAAGAGTGAAGATTTTTAATAGCTTATGTATGGTAGCTTATGTATATCAGTTTGTTTCTCAAAGGACAATACCTTGGGTGATGTTCTATATATAATTAAACTGTCTGGAGTCTGTGAAAACGTAACATCGGAGAAAATGGGCAGACCTGCTTTTTTTTTAACTGTCTATATGAAGATATTGAAAATATTTTTTAAGAAATAATAAGTAAATAGCAAATGCAACAATACAAGCAAGGCTAATACTAGCAAGACTGAGAGAAAGAAAAAGATAGACAGAAAGAAGAAAATACCAAAAGATAAAGGAAGTGAAACAGTCAAAATGAAGCAGATTAGACTTAGCTAAGATTTATTTTGCTGAAGATCAATCCAGAAACAAAGTTCATGTTTCTGATCCTTGGGCAGTGCAAATTCACATCTCACAGGACATAGTTCCCACTAATAAAGGTAATATCAGAACAAAGGGAAGGAAAAAAAAAAAAAAAGGCTTTCCTCTTGGATTGTCAACATGTAGAATACATGTTGGTTACTACTTTTCTGCCACTTCTGAAAATCAAATGCTATTTCTAAAAAATAAAGTAACAAGGAAGATCTAGATGCAAGTATCTGTCTCTTTCAGAATACTCTAACTATGTCTTAATTAAAAGAGAGAAGATTTAGTCTGGATATAAGGAAAAAGTTCTTTATGCTAAGAGGAGTGAAGCACTGCCACAGGTTGCCCAGAGGAAAGCAACACAACCAACAAAACAGCAAAGTACAGTAAGGATTTCTGAAGCTTCAGCTCCTGACAAAATGCACTTGCACATACAATCCAGGTACATTGCAAAATGTACCTCTTGTGGCACTAAGAATGGCAATATTGCTGTCACAGGCTGTGACAATGTACTCTTAGCCGTTCTTATCACCTCCTAACTCCCAAATGCAGGAGTGCCTCCTGTTGGTCAGCAGAGACCATCCTTGGCACTTAGTTCACACAGGACCAAGTGCTAGGGCACTAAAGCACAGGTTTAAAAACCTAAATGTGATTTTCAAAGTAAGTAATACCAACAAAAACAAGCAAACTCCACCCCTCAGTGTTCTGACAACATTAAGGCATGTCAGAGGGCTCTGACAGTGACTATTTGCAAAATCTTTAAAAGCTTCACAGGATTGCAGTACATTGAATTATTCAGTGTCTCTGAAAACAGCTCGGATGTAATCTCCTTTTAAGCTGTGTGCCAACTGAGTCTATAAATTCATTGTCACATTTCCTGGAATCCTTCTTGGCAGAACTGAACTGAGCTCCATGATCAGTTGCCAGACAGTCATTTCAAGCTGGGATGTGATGGTGTCTGAAGGGAGTTTACACTGCTAGCCACTTCAGCTCCTTTTCTGCCAGCCCTCATTCTCAGGGCAGACGGTGCAATAGCTAGACATTGCCTGTGCCATCAATGGGTCAGACTGCGCGCCAATCGGTGCAATGGAAAGAATGCAGCAGGAAATTTTCCTGTTCAGGATGTAGCATGTCAGTGAGCTTTACTCTTCAGGAACAAAACACCGACAAATCCTCATCTGCATCCCCACGTATCATTCCCTCTACAGCTGTTTTTGAGCCCCTGTACCCTTCCACACCCACACTTATGGAAGAGGATCGGGGATCAGAAGGCAACATCTGACATGCACTGCCTTTCTGTGACTGTCCCTTCCAAACAAGGCAGAAGAGGCACACACACAGAAGTGTGCTAGGATGTCTTTCCAGTATGGTTTAACTGAGACGGGAGAGGCTTAGGTTAGATATTAGGAGGAAGTTTTTCACGCAGAGGGTGGTGATGCACTGGGACAGGTTGCCCAAGGAGGTTGTGGATGCCCCATCCCTGCAAGCATTGAAGGCCAGGCTGGATGTGGCTCTGAGCAGCCTGGTCTGCTGGTTGGTGACCCTGCACATAGCAGGGGGGTTGAAACTAGATAATCATTGGGGTCCTTTTCAACCCACGCCATTCCATGATTCTATGACCCTTTCAAGCTTCCTAACTGACACTGCTCTAATGACTTCCACTTCCAGGAAGCCTCCTGAACTGTACGCACATTCTCCCTTTTCCTCTAAAAAGCTGGGAAAAAAAA